TCTTCTCTCTCCTCTCTCCCTCTTCTCCTTCTCCTCTCCCACTCTCTCTTCCTCTTCTCTCCTCACTCTCTCTCTCTCTCTCTCCTGCCCTCTCCTCTCTCTTCCCATTCCTCTTCCTCCACTCTGCTCTTCTCTCCTCTCTCTCTCCTCTCTCTCCTCTCTCTCCTCTCCCTCTTTCTCCTCCTCTCTCTCTCCTCTCCTCTCTCCTCTCTTCCCCCCTCATTGTCCTTCTTCCCCTTCCCCTTTCCTCCTCCTTCTCTCTCTCTCTCTCTCTCTCCTCCTACCTTTCTCTCCTGGTTCTTCTCCTTCTTTCAAACAATCTCTCAGACAGAGCCACCACCCACACACACACACACACATCACACACACACACACCACATCACACACGCACACCACACACACACACAGAGCACTCACACACACAAACACACACACACACACCACACATCTTCTTTCTCTCTTCCTTGTCTTGTCTTCTCTCTACTCCTCCTCTTCTCAGTCTTTGTCTTTCTCTCCCTCATTTCACCTTCCTTCTCTTTTCACTCCCTTTTTCATTTTCCTTTTACTTGTCACCTCTCAATCTCTATCATCTTTTTTCTCTCTACTCCTAATCCCCCGTTTTTCTTCCTCTTCTTCTCAATCTTTTTTCTTTTCTCTCATTCTACTCCCTTTTTCATTTTCCTTTTACTTGTTGCCTCTCTTGCCCACTCCTTCTCTCTCCATCATCTTCTTTCTCTCTTCCTTGTCTTGTCTTCTCTCTCGACTCCTCCTCCTCTTCTCAATCTTTTTCCTTCTTCTTTCTACTTTTTTCATTTTACTTGTTACCTCTTGCACTCTCCTCCTCTCTCCATCATCTCGTTTCTCTCTACTCCTCCCCTTTTTTCTTCCTCCTCATCTCAGTTTTTTTCTTCTTTCAATCTCTTTCTACTCCCTTTTTCATTTTCTTTTTATTTGTTACCTCTCTTGCCCTCTCCACCTACCCTTTTCTTCCTGCTCGTCACTTTTTCTCCTTCCCCTCTCGTTTCACAATCCTTCTTTCTCTCCATTTCTACTCCCTTTTTCATTTTCCTTTCACTTGCTCCTCGTCCTCTCTTCCTCCACTCAGTCTTTTTTCTTTTCTCTTTCTACTCCCTTTTCATTTTGTTTTTATTTACCTCCTGCTCTCTCCTTCTCTCTCTCCATCATCTTCTTTCTCTCTTCGTCTTGTCTTATCCCTCTACTCCTCCTCCCCCTTTTTTCTTCCTCCTCTTCTCAGTCTTTCTTTCATCCTCCCCTCATTTTCATCCTCCTCTTTCTCTCTTTATACTCAATTTTTCTTTTACTTGTTTCTATATCATCTCTTCTCCTCCCCCCTTTTTTCCTCCTCAGTCTTTTTTCTTCTCCTTTTCTCTTTCTACTTTCTTTTTTAGTTTCTTTTTACTTGTCATCTCTCTTGCCCTCTCCTCTCCTCCTCCCTCCATCATCTTCTCTCTTCCATTTTATCTCTCTACACCTCCCTTTTTTCATCACCTCCTCATTTCATCCTCCTCCTTCTCTCTTTCTACTCCCTTTTTCATTTTCTTTTTGTTACCGCTCTTGCCTCTCCTGTCTTTTTTCGTCTTTTCCTCATTTCATCCTCCTCCTTTTCTCTTCATACTCAATCTTTCATTTTCCTTTTCCTTGTTACCTCCTCTCTCCATATCATCATCATCTTTTTCTCTACTCCTCCTCCCTTTTTCTTCCTCCTCTTTAGTATTTTTTTCTTCACCCCTCTCCTCTTTCTACTTGTTTTTTTTTTTACTTCTTACTTCTCTTGTCCTCTTCTTCACTCTCCCTCCATCATCTTCTTTTTCTCTTCCTTGTCTTTTCTCTACTCCTCCCCCCTTTTTTCTTCCTCCTCTTCTCAGTCTTTTCTTCTTTCTCTTTCTACTGAGTTTTTTTTTTAATTTTCTTCTTTTTACTCGTTACCTCCCTTCCCTCTCCTTCTCTCCCTCCATCATTTTCTCTCTTCCTTGTCTTATCTCTACTCCTTGTCCTCCTTTTTTCTTCCTCCTCTTCTCAGTCTTTTTCTTCACCTCATTTCATCCTCCTTCTTCTCTCTTTCTACTCCCTTTTTTCATTTTCTTTTTACTTGATATCTCTCTTTGCCTGTCCATCTCTCTCCATCCTCTTCTTTCTTCCATCTTTTATCTCTCCGTCTACCCCCCCTTCTTCCTCCTCTTTTCAGTATCTTGTTTCTCCTCCCTCTCTATATCCCTCTCTCCCACTTCTCTTTTTCGCCACTCTTCCATTCTCTTCATCTCCATCTTTCCCTCTCATTTTCCTCCCTCCTCTTCCTTCCATCTTCTGCTCTTTGTGCTCTCTCTCTTCATCTCCCTCTCCCTCCTTTGCTCTCTCCATCACTCCATCTCCTCATCCCTCTCTTTCAGACACGTAAACAGAGCGCATGCATTTGTGCAAGGACACGGCAACACAACAGATAAATCAGCTTTTACAATGAAGGGAGAAAGGGAAGAAAGAGAGAAACAGAGAGAGAGAGAATGAGGAGGAAGAGAGTCGGCCTGTAACGATTACACATTTTACTGGACTGAATGAACTGACCAAGAAATTATTGCGATAAATTACAATATTGACATTTTGAGACCATTTTCTACTATTATAAGGACAATGGAATAAAAATGCACATACACCCTTTCGAAGATCAATAAACTTGACTTTCTAAAAGAACTTTTAACACAAGAACTGCAAAACAAACAAAAACAAAAAGCCTAATAAATAAAATAGACTTGTTAACATAAGAATATCCTAATGTAGTCTGGTTTACAGCGAGGAGTCGTTAATAAAAAAAAATGCACTTTAATAATAACAGGGTTCCCACTCTTTTTCACTGACAAAATTCAAAACATTTCCATGACTAAAGTGAATTTTCCATGACTTTACAGCACCTACTTGTGTAGAATTGATCAGACTTAAGGGCTAAATATGAAATGTTAACTCTTTCCACTCACCTTATGGTTTGGTTTTATAGTTTTTTAACATTAAAGGGGTGGAGCTCTGGAACAACTGTACAGAAAACCTCAAACTGTGTGCCAAGCTCTTCCATTTTATAAAGAAGATTAAACGTTTAACTCTGTGCACATACATGAATTATGCAACTTAGTTTGTGCTGTAGTACTTTGTTGTGCTGTTACTGATTTGTTTGTTTCCTCTTGCTGTATTTATGAAGATGAACTGGTGTCAAGATGAGGCTCTAATAAAGGAATAAAGGGTATGGGTATAAAACTCAAGCTTCAGCCTACACCTTTTCGGTCAGTGTATGTTAAATATGTCTGTGGAATAAAGTCAGAATCTACCTGTGACTGAAATAAATTAATCAAAATACTTTCAAAATATGGTCAGTGCATTTATTGTCGTCTCTTTTAAACAAAAGGCGCAGACGTTCAGAAATAATCATAATAGTCTAATGAGAACTTAACAGAACGATGTAGTTGAGTGAAAGAGATGCTAAAATGCCATGACTTTTCAATGCCTGGAAAAAGACATTTTCAATTTCTATGACTCTTCCAGGATTTCCGTGACTATGGGAACCCTGCAAACCATTGTTGAACCAAACACAACCAAAACAATAAATAAAATGGATTATTACGTCTCTAACAGGCAGTCTCCTGTTATCAATAAGAGAGACTCTACACCGGACACTTTCAAATCAAACTTGAAATGGCAGCTAAAGGAAAACCAGACCTGTGGACACTATTAGTCTAGAACTGTTACGATTGTTATTGTTGTTTTTTTCTCTGTTCAAATTTGTGGTGTCACTTGCCTAGGGACTGCAATTGAAAATCAGCATTCCTGCAATAATCTGGCACATTTACACTGCGATGTTGGAGATGCTCGTTAATATGCACCGTCCCTATTAAATAAATAAATAAATAAATAACAAAAATGCTCTTAAAAGTTGTTAAATATGAGGCTCAGACAGGGAAAACAGAAAAAACAAAACCACCAATTAGGACCTTTGGGCCTGGTCAAGCAGAAGTAAACAGCAAGGCCAAAAATTCAAGTTAATGCATCTGATATAAAAATGTATTGAACAGATACATATGTACTCTAGTTTATGAAACTGTTTACCTTTTTTCTGTACCATTTTTGGTTCTAAAGTTACATACGTTTTAAACAGACCATGTATGAAACATGGAACAAAAATTATTTCCCAAATTTCAAAGACCTGAAAATCATGTAAATAAATGGATGTATTTCATCATATCTTGTGTTATTCCATCTTTGAACTGTTGATGAAGGTATGTGATTTTTTTTCAAAAAAAAATGTATTTAAAATTATAAAAATTTGCTTGGAAGGATTGACATTTTATAGAAATAGTTTCTTTCATTTTGAAGTAATATTAAAGTATTAATATAAGAAAGAAGAAAAAAGTTGACAAATTATGCAAAATCATGCACCTTTTACTTGCTTTCCCTCTGTTACTTTTCCCTCCGTTACCATGACCTTTCTTAATAAAAAATCTCATTACTCAAAAAGTAAGAGGTTTTTCAACCTAATCTTGTACCATATGGTAGAAAACTATATGAAGCAAATATTCAAACCAGTTTGTTAAGGATATGTAAGTGAGAACCGCTAGTTATCACTGTTTGGATTTATTGCCCAAAAAGTGCTGCATATTTCATTCCCTCCGTTACGACATGAGTTTTTTTAAAATTTTTGTCAACAACTTGAAAGAATATCACAGGTTTAACTTTACCCTGTTGGAGTGTAACTCTTTCCTACATTCTGATACTTTACTTATTTCAATAGTCCCTCTAGTTTCTGAATAAGAGACATTTGAATGTAAAAAATCTGCCCGTTTCCCTCCGTTACCACTTGACCGGACCCATTTGTAAATAAAAAGTGCAAATAGAAATTATCGAAAAGTTATCAAGCTCGTTAAAAGTTATGATGCGATGAATTATCGTTACAGGTCTAGAAGAGAGGAAGCGAGAGAGAGAAGTGAGTAGAGCATCCATACCTGTTTATGCATCTCGATGTTTAGGCCATAGGACATCTCGTAGTACTAAAAACACACAGAAAGCACGGTTAGGATTTAGCGTAGAGACTTTCAAACCTCCACCAACACCACCACCCCCACCACACCTGTTCTTATTGATCTGTACTTTGTCAAGTCCTTCTACGAGTCCCACTGCTTTTACCTGCTCCCAAAAGACAGTAATTTCACCTCAATGCCACATCAGGCTTACATTATTTTACATTAGTGTCAATTTGTACTGTGAGTCTGAGGGTTTGACGAGTACCTGTGCCCTACATTGACGACACCTTGGCTTCCTGACAGAGCCGGCGGAGGGAAAATGAGCCCTATTCGCAAATTACAAAGTGATTATAAAGTCAAATGTGACACTCTAATCATCTCCATTAGGAGGTACGAGATAGTGAGAGCTACACCTGCGAACAAAAAGCAGGTGCACCGCTCCAGCTCCGAGAGAATCATTCATAAAAAAAAGGTTCGGAGTTAAAACGACTGCCCCGGTTTTTCTCAAGGTCGACAGAGAGAAAGAGACGTATGTTAAAAGGTGCGCTAAGTAACTTTTCTTTTTCATTTCTTGGCATGTTCCACAGTTCTATTACACTTCTTTTTGCCATTATATTCATTTATCTGTCTTGCAATTATTTAATAATTAGTGCGCTCACTGCTCAAAAATACAATTGCCGCGTTCACATGAGAGCTTTAACTCTGAATAAAAATGAATTCCGCTTTAAAAAGACCATGCAAACACTTAAATCTTAATGAAAATGATTATTCGGAATTAGGGCTGGGCATTCGATGAAATTTTCTTAATCGATCGTCGGAAGAATTAACGATCGATTATCGATTAATTATTAACGTTTTTATATTAAAATGATCATCATTATAATTACTATCTGCACTACTAATCTGCATAAATAAATTCAACTTTACGACATATAAACCGTAACGACTCTAGAGCCACATCAATCCGTTTGACATTATAATGTGTTTAATTCAGTTTTGCGCAACTCTCACAGAAACCAAACTTAAAACCACATCGTTAATTTGCATAAACTAAGCGAAGATAAAACTACAGCTCTTGTGTCGCTGATGCGGTTCAACTTCTGTCGGATTAAAAGACATGACTCAGGTGAATACAGGTTAGTGTGACCAGATTTGCGTTTGTCAAAACCAGGACACTGTACGGGGGGAGGGAGGTGGGGACTCGTCATCGACATTGAGCGACTCTCACCTGGTAAAACTTTTTCCCACTGGACACAGAAACATATGTGCTGCTTTGTACACCGTGCACATGGACTCACACTTGTCTGGAACGCAACGGAAAGCGTGGAATTTCTTGTACAAGTCATCGTTAAACACGCATTTGTGCTTCAGTACGCTGCAGCTGACTCGCTCCTTCTGAGTGCAGAGAGCTACATGTACAGACCCCTGTTTGGTCAAACTACGCACAGCAACCTACATTCGGTTTGTCGATTAAAATCAACGAAATCGATGAAATTCTTAAAGATCAATTATCGATTAATCATGCCCATCCCTATTCGGAATTAAACTTTCAGGTAATTCCGAAGTAAGTGGGTGTTTTATTCTGAATTTTAAAGCTGAATTAATTTATTTCAGCTGACAGACGTAAATCGTGATGAGAGAATTCTCGAGCTGCTGCTTCATTATCATCGGAACGACTGCGAAAAAAGTTTGGATCGTGTTTGTAACGACAAACCAAGATGACAAAAAAGCCGGTAGAAGCTGAAGTGTGTGTTTTCTTCCGGTCGACGTAAATTCGTTGGTGTTTCTGTCCAATCAGAACCCTTCCCCAACCCCAGACGTTGATTAAATAAAGATGATTCAAAGCGTTTTCCATGTAAATCTTAATTCAGAATTATTATTTAAATGTAAACTCAAAGGAGAATATTTTAATTCAGAACTATTTAATTCAGAACAATTAATTCTGAATTAAAAAACATCATCCTCTACACGGATCTGACCTGTAATTTGGCCTTGTATTGTCGCCTGCTTGACTCCACGGAGGCAGAAAAGTTTCAGCATTCCAGGTAAATCACTAATATCTCCATGGAAACAAGCAGGTGGCCGACCCTTCATCAGAAATGTTACGTAGCGCGTCTTTAAGGCAGGTCTTACCATGACGTAGTGCCGCTGCATCTCCGTCTTCTCGCTGGCCAGTTTCTCGCATTCCAGCTTCAAACTGCAAAAAGACAAAAAAATATATTAAAACAATAAATTAGGGCTGAAACGAGTTAAATCAGTTAAGTGCAACAAATCGACTAATTTAATAATTTTTTAATCGTTTTATGAGCTACACACAGACTCTAAACCGGGTCATTTGAAAAGAGAAGAAGTTTATGACACAGACAGAGCAGCAATTACCCCAAAACACCATCAGAGTATGTCAAATTAGTGTTTTTAATGACCAACCGTGTAAATGTACGACAGTTTATCTACAACAGAAGAAGCAACAGAGTTCTCTAGTAGGTCCGGGTGTCGTTAATAAGTTGCCGATACGATACATATCTCGATACAGTGAGTTTTTGATACGATATATTTTAAATTAATTCGATACCGTTCAATAAATAATAAAGTCTAACTCATGTCTGTCTTTGTTAAACCACTTCTTGTGCAAAGTTAATATGAAACACAAACATGTTAATCATCAAAACAGTGAAAATGTCAAATGTGTCGAGTTTCTTTCCTCTAAACAAGCAACAAAACTGTAGCTGTAAGAAAATAATTGAGTAAAATATACCAAAAATACTCTTGGCGATATATCAATACTGTATCATCACATTAAACGATACGATATATTGATATTCCAATATTTTTGCACACTTCTGCTCTGTAGTGACATCACTTTTGCTTTATATATATGAAATTGATCAAAAACATAATATTCACGGGCTTTTTGCGATCTATGACTTATATATGACGTGAAAGCGTAAACGCCAGAATTAACGATTACCAAAATAATTGTTAGTTGGAGCTCTTGTGTTATTAGAGAGTAGCAAAATGTGCTTTTAAATATTCATTTCAGCTGCCCACATCTGTATTAAATAGGGCTGGGTATCATTAAGAAGTTGCCGATACAACACAGTGAGCTTTCGATTCTATACGATTCAATAAGATATATTTCAAATTCATTCGATACGGTTCAATAAAATATAAAGCCAACTCAAGTCTGTCTTCGTTAAATCATTTCTTGTGCAAATTTAATATGAAACACAAACATTTTAATCATCAAAACAGTGAAAATGTCAAATGTGTTGAGTTTCTTTCCTCTAAACAAGCAACAAAACTGTAGCTGTAACAAAAAATAACTGAGTAAAATACACCAAAAAATACGTTTGGCGATATCGATAGAGCAGCCCATGATATCGATACTGTATCATCACATTAAATGATACAGTATATTGATATTTCAATATTTTTCTTTCATTCGATACGGTTCAATAAAATATAAAGCCAAACTCATGTCTGTCTTTGTTAAACCACTTCTTGCGCAAAGATAATATGAAACACACACGCTTCAATCATCAAAAACATGATGAAAATGTGTTGCGTAATCTCTGAACAAGCAACAAAACAGTTTTATTAGCCTGATTCATCAGACGGTTTCACTTTGTGGAAACCGTCTGACCTCGACGGTAGGCAGGCACTTTTTTAAATTAACCAATCGCTGCTGTTTGGTCGTGACGCATGTAACGGGGCTAACTGGTATATTAAGCTTTTTCCAAATCCAATGTGAAAGAAGGGCATGATAAAATTCACCAAACATTCTCTTTGTTTTGGCTTTAAATCCTCAATCTTGGGAATCGTTGCCAACACAGAATGTACGCCTCTTCGCTGACTGGCTGGTGCTCTGCCTCACACTTCCAGGATTTTTGCGAACCGTCTAGTGCAGGGGTGGGCAAACTAAGGCCCGGGGACCATATGCGGCCCTTTAATCTTTTTAATCCGGCCCGCCTAAATTGAATAACAATAATAAAAGTCATTTCAATAAATAGTGAATACTGTGAGACTTGAAAGACAGATTTTTTTTGTAATGCTTTGTAATAATGTTCATTTATGGGATATGTTTTTCTCTTATGAGGTGGATTACCAAAAAACTCCATTCCATTTGCTCCTGGTCCAGCTCTTCCGTAAAATTTTAGAACCCTTTGTGGCCCACGAGTCGAAAAATTTGCCCACCCCTGGTCTAGTGTATTTTGATTCTTGACCTAGTCCCTGGAGAGAAATGAAATTGAGCAGAGGCACTAGGTGGCACCAACCTGAATACAAAACTGTAGCATTCTAACAAAATAATTTAGTAAAATATTCCAAAAAAATACTCTTGGCGATATATCGATACAGTAGAACACGATATCAGTACTGTATCATCACATTAAACGATACGATATATTGATATTTAGATATTTTTGCACACGCCTAGTATTAGATATAAGGCTGCGTTCAGACTGCAGCCTGAAGTGACCCAAATCCGATTTTTTGGCTCCTATGTGACCTGTATCTGATCTTTTAATGACAGTCTGAACAACACAGATCTGATTTTTTCAAATGCGACCCAGGACACTTGGATATGTGCTCCTGAAACCGATACATATCTGATCTTTTGACATGCAACTTCAGTCTGAACGGTCAAAGTGCATTCATTCGACCTACACGTCATCAACAAGCCACAAACGTCACTATTCTGCGCTGAAGTAGGCGAAAATTGTTAATGAACTCCGTGTCACTGAAGCGAAGCACATCACCACTCACCACTCTTGGCTACGTCTCCACATCCACACGTTCCTTTCAACAGACGTCCCTGCCGCTGTCCCACAAAACACCACGGCCAAAAACCTCGTCCTTCTCCTTCTCAATCTCCTCCTTAAAACAAGTAAGTTGTTCATGTTCTGGCTCCGGTACGAGAGAAACTTTAAAATCTCCAGGTGCTCAATGCTCGCGTCCATGTTTGGACAACTTCCGTAAACACAGAGCACGCTCGCTGCGGTTGACATCGTTGTGTCTCCAGTGCACATCAGGACACTTTTGGGCCGTTTAACGTTCACACTGGAGTCACATACAAGTCACATTTAATTGGAAATGTGAACAACCTCGCAAAAACATCGGATTTCACCAAAAAAAAAGGGAATTGAGCGTTAAGCCCTGCAGTCTGAACTTAGCCTAAGTGGCGTATAGAACGTTGCGGTGTTATTCATCGACTCCAGCAGCGAGAAAAATATCGAATAACAGCTCAATATCTGCTCAACAAATCCACAGAGGACCATCCGTAAATCGTCTCCTGCAGTTGTTCTAACTTCCCTCTGAATGTTTAGGTAAAAATCACTCACTGTAAACATTTGGGAAGTGTCACCTGTTGCTGCCCCGGACCCTGTAATAGTCGTTTACACACACACACACACACACACACACACACACACACACACTTTACTGTATACACTTCTGCAGCTTTGTCTACAGACATCAGGGAAAATAAATGAGTGATTTATGAAAGACCGAGCCCACACACCACTTTTTCTCTCTCTCTCTCTCTCTTCCGCCTCACTCCAGTCCAACTCATCTCTCTCTCTCGCTTTTTCTTTCTTAGCTCCAGCTCTCTCCTCCCTTCTCTCCCTCTCTTTTTTCTTTCCTTCCCCTCTTACCTCTCTCCTTATTTCATTTTCTCGCTGTTTTTCTCTCTTATTCGTTTACTCTCCTTCCTTTCTTCTGTCTCGCCCCACTTCTCTTGCCCTCCTTCCTCTTTCCCCCCCCTCTCCATGTCCCCCTCTGTTTTATTAGACCTCGCTCTCTTCCTTCTCTCCCTCTCTCTCTCTTTTTTCTTTCTTCTCATCTTTCCAACTCTCCTCCCTTCTCTCTCTCACCCTCTTTCGCCTTTCTCTTTTTCTCTTCCTTTCTTCAGCCTCCCTCTCTTCTCTTGGCCACCACCACTCTCTCTCCCTCTCCATCCTCTTCTCTTCCTCCTTCCCTGCTTCTCTCCAGTCCACCTCATCTTTCTTTCTTGCCCCCGCTCTCTCCTCCTTTCTCTCCCTCTACTTTTTTTCTTCTTTCTCCTTCTCCCTACCTCTCTCCTTCCTTCACTCTCTCCGTTTCCTTTCTTCTGTCTCACTCCACTTATTTTGCCCACTACCCCTCTCTCTCTCTCTTTCTATCCCTTTATCTCCCCTCTCTCTCCCTGCCTCTATTCGTTCTCTCTTCTTCCCTCTCTCTGCCTCACACTGTCTCCCTCTCTCCCTCTCCTCCCTTGTCTCTCAGTGTCTGTCTCTCACCATCTTTCTCTTCCCTCACTCTCTTCTTCTTTTTGGTCTCCCCCCCCTCCTCTTCCTTCACTCCTCCCTTTCACTTTGTCTCTCTTTCTCTCTCTCCATCCATATCTCCCTCTTTTTCTCTCCTGCATTTGTCTCTCTCAATGTCTGTCTCCTATCCTGATTCACTTCTTCCTTTTTGGTCCCTCTCTCCTCTTCTCTCTCTCTCCACCTCCCTTTTTCCCTCTTCCTTCCTTCTCTTTCTGTCCCCTCCCTCCCCTTCTTTCCCTTCTTCCCTCTCTCCACCTGACGCCGTCTCCATCTTCCTCTGAGTGTCCGTCTCTTACCCTTTTTCTCTCCCCTCACTCCCTTCTTTCTTTTCAGTCTCTCCCCCCCCTTTCCTCCACACCTTTTCCAACTCTTTTTTTTCTTTTTCTTACCCCTCTTTCACTCCTTCTCTCTACCTCACTCCATCCTTCACTTTCTCCGATTCTCTCTCATTTCCGTCCTCTGTCTCACCTCCTCCAACTCTCTCTCCCTCCTCTTTTTTCCTATCCTCCCTCTCTCTTCCTTACTCTCTTCTCCTCCTCCTCTCCCTCCTCTTTTTTCCCCTCCTTCCTTCTCTTTCTGCCCTCCACCCCTCTCTCTCTCTCTCCCTTCTTCCCCTGACACCGTCTCCATCCCCCTCTCTCCTTCTATTGCCTTCTCTCTTTCAGTGTCCGTCTCTTACCCTCTTTCTCTCCCCTCACTCCCTTCTTCCATTTCCCTCTCTCCCTCTACTCCTTTTCCAACTCTTTTTCTTTCCTTTCCTCTCTTTCACTCTCCAACTCCTTCTCCCTACCTCTCTCCTTCCTTCACTTTCTCTGTTTCTCTCTCATTTCCGTCTTCTGTCTCACCCCTCTCCACTCTCTCTCCCTCCTCTTTTTTCCTATCCTCCCTCTCTCTC